CTGCTCCCCTCAGCAGTGTACTTCGTCGATCTGCCTGTTCTGCTCCCTGCTCTGTCCCTGGTGAATCCTCTCACCCTCCCCATCTCTGGCCTGTACCCCAGTTCTGTATGAATAAATAAATCTTTAAGAAAAAAATCTTTAAGTCCAGCAATCAGATGAAATAAAACTCAGTTATGTGGAGGAAGTGGTAGGTATAAAATAGCGCAAATGATTACCATTGTCTCCAGCAGATGCATCAGGAAATGGGAGACTGAACCAGGTGTACGACTATGGGGAAACAGAAGTGAAGTATGCCTTACCCTGTCTGATTATTGAAACATTTCAAAACATTTCTAACTAGCATCAACTTTGTCATATTGACAGAGACAGGAGGAAGGTCTGAAAGTGTCAGGAAAAAATAGCTAAGCACGGTTACTAAGCCCTCGGCTCCCTTTAATCTTCTCAAGAACAGAAAAAGTTCACTGTGGTTGCAGGGTGAGCTTGAAAAGGCCTAAGGAGAGAGGTCTGAGCAGTGAAAGACAGAACAGAACCTTCCAGAAAACTGTCATATCTCCACTGTGTGACTGTGTGGTATCTTCAGCAGGTGCACCTGCCTCCCAAGACATCACCCCCTCCCAAGACATCACCCCCTCCCAAGACATCAACCACCAGGATCCTGAGTCCAGCTGACTACATGCTCTCTCTAGGGACTGGAGAAGTTCAGCGAGATTCTTCAAAAAGTTAGAGGTCACCATGGTGGCACACCAACCAGACACGGTGACAATGGGGTGAGGAATACAGGCCACAAGGGAGGCACAAGAGAAGGCAGGCAGTCACCAGGGGGCGCAATGCAGCCAGCAACCCTCAGAACAGGGCCTCACACCCTAACATGCTTGGCTAGGGGCCCCCCTACTCATGCCCATCCTAACTCCAGTGAAAAGTCTAGTCACAGCTTTTATTTGTTAAGTCGGTACTAAAAGTCCAAATGTAAACAAGATTCAGTTTGAAGGAAGATTTATTCAAAATCTATTTAACCTAAAATTCTATACCTAAGTTGAATGATCCCAGTTACCCACCTAACTCAGTGTACTAGAGGTTATTCCAAATCACTACAATCTGCCAGTTTCCTCAGCAGATACAGGAAAGAATGGATCTCCTAAATGCCAAATTGAAGATAAATTATAGATGTAAATGATCCAGCTTCTATTTTGGAGCACCTGTTTAAAATTTTGGAGAAATACAGGACATGAAAAAGTTCTTTTTATCAAAAATAATCCTGTGCAATTTCATTAAATTAAAACTGCCTATTATTACAATTCCTGAAAATGTCTGAAATAGTATTGTACTGTCTGCAGACAGTATTAGTCACTTACCAAGGGCTAGAACACATAATATCATAACCCAAAAACTGTCAATATTATCAAAGTTAACGCTGTAAGATTTTCTTCAGTATCACCCACCTGACATGCCCCCCCAACACACACACACACACACAAACAAGAAAGCATAATGTGCTCTATTTTGAACTTTAAAAATGGAGGAAAATTTGACTCTTTTAGGGTCAATCTGTAAGTTACTGAGGTGTCCCTAGTTCATTAATGAGTAGCACACAAATTACATGTGTTGTGTGCTGAGGGAGAGGAGGGTGCAGGAGAGTCTAGAAATATAGGGCCCAAAATAGCTGATTCTTTAACATCATTTTCTTGTTATATCAATACTTATCAGAATTATATAGCCTCTTAATTAAAAAAGCCAAATAGTTCTATAAAATTAGTCATGAAAAACTATAACTCCTCCTATATTCTAGGCCTCAGCCTCCATGTGCCCTCCCCTGAGGCAATGATTCTTTTGGAATTTACCTGTTTTTCATAAGCCTGCATGCTATTCCTTGCTTTTTTAAGATTAGGCATTATTGATTCCCACTACAAACACGAGGAACCGTCAGCCTTTCACCTACCACAGCCCTGACTTCTTTCTGCCAATACATGTTTATTGTCGGCATTTGGCTTGATTAATAAGGTTGACAGCAGACACCATTCCTTCCCTAAAAAAATGTATAATCGCCCAGTTTGTTCATAAGTCAATCTTGCTTGCTTCTCGGTGTCAAAAGTCAATCTTGAACTCTGCCAGTCGTCCAAATCTCATCATACATTCCGATTCCTCGGGTTGCCGGCAAATACCATCCTCTTTAAAGGCTTCTGCCCAGACAGGTTAGAGTGGGGCCCGGTGGTTGCTCCCAGGAGCGAGTGCACACTGCCAGAACAGAAGGGGTACTGCGAGAACCTGTCAGCGCCCCGGGCTGAACCAATTGCAGAACCCCTGGGCGACTTCTCAGAGGACGATTCTCAGCAAAGGAAAATCTTACTATAAAAACAACCTGCCACACACACTGTGGATATTCTCTGAGAACAAACTGCAGGGCAACTGCAAAAGCAGAGCTTAAAAAAAAAAAAGCTGCAGGTTACATTAACAATTCCAGATACATTTTCAGTATTCTGCAGGGGTGCACTCTTCAGCAGATGCAGCAGGTCCAGGGAATGGGTGAAATCTATGTCACCCCAGCGATCCCTTCTGCAGTGACACATGCCATCATGAGCGGTGCAAGTCACCACGGTAATGAATTTGCTCGGACACTTTCAACAGAGCAAGCAAGTCATGGACATTATACTGTGGTCCTCCGAATAGAAGAGATGCAACTCCCTTTCAATCACATCCTTCCCACTCATGCTGGAGGAAGCAATTTGAGTCAGGAATGGCCACAGCATTCTTGGCTTGTTCAGAAGATATTCCCGCATCCACAAAGGCGGCTTCTAGTTTTGTTTCTGTTCTCTTCTTTATTTTTTCCAACTTTACAGTATATACATGGCAGGTAGTATTTTTTCCTAAATTATCAAATGATCAAACTTTTTCTTAAAAATCAAAAACTACTAGTAACAGAAACCTTTCAAATCTGTATTTTTACTAAATATTGCTATATGACAGTTTAATTTTCATTTTTTTAAAAGCAAAATTTTTGTTTATTAAGAGTCTCCAGGGAATAATGAATTAATCACTATTACATTCACAATGATGCATTTATTCAGAGCAAATACTACTGCTGTGTTCTTCAGAAGAAAGAGGAGTAGGAATACCTAACAAGAAAGTCAACTTAAGGCACCTTTACTGAAACTTGATTCCTTGAGCCAGAGGAAGGTCTTTACTGTAGTTGATGGTACTAGGGGAAGAAAAATAAATAAAACTTAATAAAGGGTAGTACATATATGATCACAGTATTTTTATACCATTACATAAGTATAGCAGATCTGTATATATTAACAAGATGCAGTGCCCAAGCACCAAATTGAAGGAAAAAAAAAAATAGGATACAAAACAATGCTAGAATAGATTCAATTGTATAAAAGAAAAAACAAGGGAGAGAAGAGAGAAATACATAAGTCTGGAAAGTCACATCGTACATTTTATATATAGTTTCCAAGTCACAAAAATAAAGACCCTAACTTTACTCTTTATTATTGCTCAACAACTTGTACTGAATTAGCAGGAAATATTTCCATTTTGATACAAGTATAATAATTAAAAAAAAAAACACCCATATTAAACTAGTCACATGGCTTTTCTCCTGAGAAAAATATCACCCCCATTAAATGGGTTCTAGAAAGGCACAGCAACACATTTTTGCTCCCCTAGATCTCTAGTGCACAAGAAATGCACCAGGAACAAAAATGAGTTCCAAGGGTGGAAACCAGGCAGAGAATGTGTACATTTTTGAGATTCAATAAGTCATAGCCAAAAACATCTCAGAAATCCCTCACTGATGCAAACTGTTGCGACTCTCAGGAACCAAAGTTGAGAAACTCACCCAAGGTTACATAGGTAGTAAGAAGCAGCAGAAGAGACCAGGGTGTGTCTTGGATTCCTTATTCCATGTTCTTGTTACAACATGACATCACATGGGTCTGACCCCATATTCTCTACTTTACTGCACTTAAGTGCAAACTATTTCCCCCACAAAGGGGGGAAAAAAACAAATTATAAGCAAAAGAAACAACTTCTAGTTCAAATGTCTTAGAAGCAGACTTTCTCACCAACTACCCTGTGCTGGTGGAATGAATTCAAGGGATATGCTCACTATTCTGAGCAAGTATCCCCCAGTGTGACAGCCAGCTCATGAACCCTCACCTATTCCCCACCCCGCCTGCATTTTCCACTGTCTTCTGCAAGGGTGACAATTGCGTCCAAAGACAACTGCCTCTACCTTCTCCTACTGACTGACCTCTAAGTACGCTGCTCCTGTACCAGCTCCCAGAAAGAAGCCATCAGCAGGACAGTTGCACAGTTGGGCCCTGGCCACTAGCTGAAGTTAGGTAATAAGGAAGGTAAAAAAAATAGCAGTATAAAACTGATGCTGTGGGAGGGGGTTGCTATGGAACAGTATACATGAAAAGAAGAAAGTGGAAGAGTAGATAAAAGCTTTTGGCAGTTTTAAGTCCAAACCCATATCATTTTCTTACCAAGTAGATCTTCTCATGTACTGTTTCCAGGAATCACTGCCAGACTCCCTGCCACCACCAGTATGCTTTTCTCCACCTAGAGAAATACACAAAAATCTCAAATCTCTTCCTCACTTTCTTTCTGTGTGGGCTGTTCCTTGGGGATACCAGTAGGAAAAACAGACATTTAGAGAAGACCACAGCTACGTGACCAATTACATCTCTGCAATAAATAAAACACAGAACGAAACAAATAGGAAAGAGAGAGAGAAATAACAGGAATTAAGAGGAAACAATTAGATCACAATGCAAAAGAAAACCTTTAAACAAAAAATGTCACCATTAGACCACATTCTTAAAGTGAAAACCCAGACAACTAAGATATTTTTTTTTTTGGCTTATGCTAAAATGTCATTATTTCTTTGTTTATGCTTATGTACAAGGAATTTTCTATAATATATACTGCTTTTCCAGTGAACCATGTTTAAATACTCATATCCTAGGAAAGGTTACCAAAAAAATGATTCTATAAAACTAGACAAGGATACTACTTAAAAGTGTACCATTAGGGGGCCCTCCCGGTGGCGCAGCGGGTTAAAGCACAGCACTGAGAATCTAAAGCCACTTCCGCATGAGTTCGATTCCCGCCTGCCCCGGAGGTGACCACATGGTGTGGCAGACCTCTCCTGACCCACCCGCTGCTCCCCTCAGCAGTGTACTTCGTCGATCTGCCTGTTCTGTTCCCCACTCTGTCACTGGTGAATCCTCTCACCGCCCCTGAGCCTCTGGCCTGTACCCCAGTTCTGTATGCACAAATAAATAAATCTGTAAAAAAAAAAAAAGTGTACCAATAGGGCCCCCCGTGGCGCAGGGATTAGTGAGTGGTTCTGTATTATCAAGCTACTACCAGCACTGCAGCATGAATCCAATCCCCATCCAGGAAACAGACCCACATGGTGCAGCAGATCTCTCCTGTCTCGTCTGCTGCTCCCCCAAGCTGTGTATTTCAAAAGATTGGCCTGTTCTGTTCCCTACTCTGTGTCTGATGAATCCTCTCACTCCCCACACATCTGGCCTGTACCCCAGCTCCTGTATGCACACATAAAAATATAAAACTTAAAAAAAAGTGTGTCATCAAAACAGAGTAAGTCTTTTTAGTAATAGGAGTAAAGATTTAACAGGATTACAAGAAAATTTTTAGGAAACCTTGTAAACAAAAATCTGGTGGTCTAAAGAAATAGAAAACAGTAGTAAAAAGACAACAAAATTACAGATATCCCCTGCTCGAACAAAGTGAAGCTGTCTGTGCCTGGAAATAATACATAGGACCTTGGCCAATAACTCTAAATACAGAACCTGACTTTCCTAAAGACATGCTGGACCAGAAAACATTTTTCAGTTTCTTGGTCAAACTTTCCTAAAATCTACTACTGTTTTTCTTTTGCTGTTTATTATGGACTGAATGTGTTCCCTCCAAAAATTGTACTAAAGCCCTGGCCTCCAATGCCTGAGAACGTGTCTGTATTTGGCTGGATGCAGGGTAACTATGGTTAAATGAAGTCATGGAGGTGAGGTGCTAAGTCAATGGGACTGAAGAGCTACAAGAAGAGGAAGAGACATCAGGAGTGTGCATGTCCAGAGAAGAAGGCCACGGGAAGACCCAGAAAGAGGAAGAGAGGTGGCAGGAAAATCCAAAACTGCCAATATCTTTATCTCAGGCATCCAGCCTCCAGAAATAGCTTGTCGAAGTTATATACTCCTAGCAGAATAATGCACTGCCCAATACGGTGAAAAACAAAGGATTCTCTACATACCAAAAGCACCTCCAATTTCGGCCCCACTTGTTGGAATGTTGACATTTACAATGCCACAGTCTGATCCTTTAGGTCTGTATGTGAAAAAGGAAGGCATGATGAGAGAAACGCAAAGGAAGTTAAAACAAAGAAAAAGTCAACACAAAGCCTTTAAGATACTCAATGCTGATAAAAGACTTTCGACTATGGCAATTTCAATTTCTTTTTGTAAAGTCCATTCATCACACAAGTTAAGAGTTGGATAAGTTTTCAAAATAAAGTTATACCCAAGCCAGCGGAAGATTCTTCCCAAATCCTTAGTAAAAATACTACTTGAAAGTCCCTGCTTGACTTCATTATTCCAGGCAAAGACCTCTTCTTCATTCTAAAAGAAGAGAGTACGAAACTGTCAGGTGGTCCAGCTTTCAGGTCAAAGTTCACTGAAGTCAATTAAATACAGTTCAAGTATAAGTGGTATAACTTTAGCACACAAAGGAATCTTAAGAATCAACATCTTCCTAATTCTATTCTTTTATACAATGTTTGGTGGGTTTTTCCTCTAACTGTACCTTTAGAAGCAAAGATTAGCATATTGCACTCAAGCCACTACATGTAATAGCTAATATTGACTGAGCTCCTATGTACCAAACACAGACCTAACCACTCACTGTGCACGTACTCATTTAATCCTCACCCTCTGGCACAAGTCATATATTTCCCCAATGTACAGATTAGACAACAGATACCCAGAGACCAAATACTTCATTCAAGAGTTCATAATCTCACACAGACACACCTGCTGCAAAAAAATGAAATTATACTATCAAGACAGCATATGTGAAACAAAGAGACAATTTAAGCAAGATTTGATGGAAAAAAATCATATAAGTAATTGATAAGGGGTGCAACTGTCTGTTTCCTTTAAATGTGAATCATGACACATTCAAAAATTATTTTCTAAATATTTGCTGGCAGGGTTAGAACCTCTCTCATGGCAGGGAAGAACTGAGCCCCTCAGTTATCTTTATTCTCTGACACAGGCTGATATCATGGATCTTTAAATTAGCCCCTATCTTCCCATTCTGCCTGCTGATATTTAGCACTCAGGGACCTCAGAAATAGGGGATAAGGGTTACACTCCCCCCTTAATTCCAGATGGGTCCTCTGCTCATAAGGTTTCCCTGGCAGTTTAAAGTGTTCCCCTCAGCCTATTTTATCCTTAACCTTCAAATGTCTGCTGATAAGAATTGACTTTCTCCCTAAAGGCTAATCAAGTGAAATTTAATATATTTTTTCATTTCCTCCTAATCTTTTCATTTACATTGCCACTAAACTAGAGAAAGAAGAGTCAGAATCCACTTTTACCTTGAATTTAAAGACATAGAGAATCGGAGCAAAAGTCTCTGTGTGTGCAATGGATGCATTGTGAGGAAGACCCGTCACAATTGTCGGTTCTACATAATTTCCAGGGCGATCCATAGCCTACAATGGAAAAATAAAATCAAAATACAGTACAAGGAAAGAAAGAAAATAAAAGCATTTTGGTTCCTCGTACATGGTCAGGATCAAATGAAACACACTCTATATTTATGGGAAAAAAGTAAACATTTATAAATGAATTAATTCATCTCCAAAATAGCTTTGCATCATGAATGAAAATTTTCTGTCTCCTATTGGTTCTAACTTAAATCAAAGAAAAACCAAATAAATAGGCATAAAGGAGAAACAGCAGCACTGTGTGTCACAATCAAGTTAAACTGAAAACACGGTTACTCGTGGCTATTTTTAAATTCACACAATTTTAAAACACACAGCGACACCCCCTGTGGTACAGACTGCGTTGTGTCTATAAGGCACTCATCTTCAAGTCTTAAATTCCTGAGTGTCACTGGATTGGAAGACTCTGGGCTTTTAAGGAGGTAACTAGAGCTAAATTCTCACAGGAATAGATCCCTCATCTGACGAACGTGAGATCTTAAGAAGACAATAAAAAGGAAAAAAGAAAAAAAAATATTCGTAACAGATGAGGGGGAACAAAGGTCTGCACAGACAGTGGATACCTTCCATCTCCTCACGCCAGGAGGACAGGCCATATAGACACAGCAAGCGGTGGTACCTGCAATGCCAGCAAGAGGTCCCCCCAGAAACTAACCCTGCCAGCACCTTCACCTTGGACTTCCAGTTGCCAACTGTGACAAAGTTAATTTTCTATGATATTTTGTTATGGCAAGTGAAGCAGACTAAGGTATAGCACACAAAAGCAGAAAGCTCCTGAAAAGCATCCTGTAGACACTCTCAAACTATCTCCAGAAAACCAACTTACTAGTGGGTCTCCGCTTAACAGTCACTTCTTTTTGTAAAATGTTCTGATGTGCACAGCAAGCTGCTGTGACATCAGGTCCACTCCCCAGGGTGCTTGTGTGAGTCTACTCTCTGCCCCCGAGCTGTTTACCAAGAGTTCACCATGTTACTCCCAATCTTGTGCAAAGCAGCTGTGTTTGCTGTAATAGTGGCATACTGCTGCATTATATAATCTAATAAATGTTACACAACAACAACAACAAAAAAAGCTATTCATATAAACATTAAGTTAGATGAGCTAGGAAAAACTCACTATAGCATACATGACACAATACACCCATATCCATGCACAGCTCTGTACAATTAAATGTGGGTATGTCCATGCCACTGATACTCAGGAGACGGATCTCTTTGGTTCCTTTTCTAGGACATCAGTTCTCAGTAAATTTTTTAAAAACTGAAACTAGATCATAGAAAATACTATAAAATAGAGGATCTAACTAATACAAAGAAGCAGATGGATTCCTACATACATGAAGAAATGCCTTGGTCCTGTATCTAAAGAATTCTGACTCCCTAGCTTTACTAGCCTTTCAAAAGGTTAGTACCTTAGTAGCTCTGAATACAAAGTCTTCAACTACACAATGAGAAGATCTCTCATCTACACTAATTCCTAAAGACGCCATGCAAAGGCACTCAGAGCTGAGCTTCTTGGGTGTCCTTCCAGAAGTATTCCATGCATTTTATACTAAGTTTTCAAAATATGCATTTCCTCTTGACCACAGGGATGGGAGGGGAAGGAAAATGGCAACTGTGGGTCTACATCAATGTGTCCAGAGCCCTAAGGGAAGGAGAAGGCCTGTCACCCGAGCTCAGCGTTTTGATTACCTTGCCACCAAAAACCACTGTGCCACCTTCTTTCTTTGCTGCTTCCACTGCTCCAAGAAACATGGTCACTGCTTGTTTGGTGTGGAGTGGCCCATAGAGAACATTAGCTGGAGAGAAAAAGGAATGCTCTTCATTTTGCCCCAAATGGCATCACTTTATTATTGTAACAGCTTCCTAATGAACTGACCGATGCATTCGACATCCTCAGTTTAAAGGAGTTAGCGAGCTTTTTCTGTTAAGGGCCAGAGAGCAAATACTTTACTTTGTGTTCCTCTGCATTACTTATGTGGTCTCTGCTACTGCGGTGTGAAAAAAGCCACGACAGTATGTCAGTGAAAGGGTATGGCCATATCCCCATAAATTTTCTTCTCAGAAACAGGTGGCAGGCCAATCTGTTTGTGACTGGTTTAGAGGAATGGCTCTCCATTCATTCCAAGCAGGACATTAAAAACACAGGGTGCATTTATTCAGTGCAAGGTAATCATTGTCTAAGAACTTCATGGACTCAGCAGTTGTGTGCAATTCAATGGCTGTTGACCTTTAAATGTCTATGGGAAGCTGGAACATTAAAGGTGACCCGGGAGACAGAGAAGGAAGATGATGTGTAGAAAAGCCTCTCTAAGGAGAGCTGGTGGTAGGAAAGAGGTGGGTGAAGAGCATTTCCACAGAGAATAGCAGGAGGGAGCCTGGGATACCTGCAACACCGAAAGAAGGTGGAAACAGCTAGAGCTCAGGGAGCAGGAAGGCCAGGTAACAGAAAGCCAGAGGCAGGCAGGAGAGGAATCAGAGGTCAGATGATGAAAGACTGGGGGCCTCAGGAAGAATCTAGGATTTCATCTAAAAGCAACATGAAGTCACTGGAATGGACCTTCAAATTACATTTTTTGAAATCACTCTGGTTACTGTAGAAGGGAAAACCAGCAGAAGGGAAGCGAGTTAGGTGACTGTGACCTTCCATGAGACAGGATGTGGAGGCTCGACACCAGGAACAGCAGTGAGAAGACAGAAGTTCATCAGTCACCCCAGTTGAACACTATCCCCCAGGCTGACCTGTCAGACATGTCCTAACTTGAAATATGTCTCATCGTGAACCCCAAAACCCATTTTATGCACTCTTAGGTCTATCAATAGGGGCAAAAAAAATCCAAGAAACAAGACACAAAGAAAGAATAGAAACAGTTAAAACATCAGTTACCAAAAGGCAAAACCTCTGAAAATACGAGATACTCACGATCCCAAGGGTCCCCAACACGGATCTGACCATAGGCCTTCTTAAGTCTATTTACAACTTCATCATGGATGCTTTCATGCAAAAACTAAGTGAAAAGGAAAACATTAAAGAGCAGAGTATGGTAAATGTACTACTTTCCTGAAGGATAATGATTAATAGTTCAGTTTCTGAAATGTGATCTCTGAAAATATAAGCAAATAGAAGCATGGGCTTTTTAAAACTACATGATTTCTAATGTTAATATTAACTATAGGAAGGCAACTCTTTGAGGCACGTGTTAAAATAAAAATCTAAAGCCACATCTTTTTTTTTTAAAGATTTATTTAGTTGTACATACAGAACTGGGGTACAGGCCAGAAGCTCAGGGGTGGTGAGAGGCTTCACCAGAGACAGCAGGGAACAGAACAGGCAGATCGACGAAGTACACTGCTGAGGGGAGCAGCGGGCGGGTCAGGAGAGGTCTGCCGCGCCATGTGGTCACATCTGGGGCAGGCGGGAATCGAACTCATGCAGAAGCGGCTTTAGATTCTCAGTGCTGTGCTTTAACCCGCTGTGCCACCAGGGAGGGCCGAGCCACATCTTTTATCAATTTCCTAAGGAACTGTTTGGCCAGGTTTCACAACTCAATTATGCCTAATCCTGTTCTAGAGCATTCACTGTGTTAATTAACAGAACCTCAAGAACCGGCTCCCACACCACTGTGTGAATCACAGTGAACACAAACCACTATGATTTGGTCAGCTGAGCCCTGCTTTTTAGCTATATGCACTTAGCCTCAGGCTGAGTAAGTCTCCAGAGTGAGGCCTTAATCAGTGAGGATGGCCCTTGGACTCCTGCTGGCCTTGTGAGCTCCATGCTATGTTCCCAGTGGCGGAGGTGACTATGTCAAATCATCCATTCTCTCGATTGATCTCCATCTGGCAAATGCATTAAAATTAACAGTAGTAGAAATACCTGTTCAGAATGTTTTATTCCCACGTATCGATAACTACCACTATGGACAATGATTTGGGCAATGACAAATAGTATCCTACAATATCCAGCACTATATATAAAGCATAATCATTTTCATGTGCTCCATGTCACAAAGAAAAAAAAGTTGGGTGAAGAAAAAAATACCTGATTTCTATGAAATTTCATATTTTACTACTTAAGATTACAATCTTTCAGCGTACCCATTTCCTTCTTAGTATTAATAAGCATTGGATGAACTAATTTAATAAATTATAATTACTTTATGAACATCATATCTTAGTTTTTTTAAGAATGTCAAATGGATAATTAAAAACAAAGAGTTTGATGTTCATTTGTTGTAAAAATAAAGGAAAAGGGAAATATGGGGACTCCCTGGTGGCACAGGGGTTCAAATCTCCACACTATGAAGCTATCACCAGCCACTGCAGCATGAGTTCGATCCCTGGCCGGGGAGCTGCCCAACATAGCACCGCAGACTTCTGCTGACCCACCGGCTACTCCCCTCAGCAGTGTATTGCAGTAGATCCTCCTGTTCTGCTCCCACTCTATGTCTCATGAATCCTCTCAACCCCGTACCACTGGCCAACATACCAGTTCTTGTATGCATAAATAACTGAAATAAATCTTAGGAAAAGTTATGGGAAAAGACTTCATTTGCAATTTGCATATCTCCTCTATCTTATTCTAATTTAGGCTGCAACAACCTTATAAAAAAAATGTTCATTTTGTCTGAAGATGAGAGTAAAAGCCCAAAACCAATTTCTCTATCAGGCAATTATAAGTTTTTTGTTTTTTTTTTTAATTACAGGAAGAAAATTCAACAACAATAAAAAAAATGGAAACACAGACAAATTTGTACCTACCCCAAAACTTGTTTGGTTTCTGTACTCACAGTTGAAAATCAAGGCTGGGCTCCACTGAAGACTGAACAATAACCACACTTGTGGAGATTTAATTTCCCAAAACCACACCCTGAAGCTAACCCATGTGTGTGAGGGCAGACTACAAAGACACATGTGTGAAATCAGCTGTTTTTTCAATAACCCATGTCACAGCAAGTCAAATGTAGGACTCAGTGATCCCAAATTAAAATCTTTCATGTTTTACTACTTAAAATGTTTGTATAGAATAGTAAACGCTGCTGTTAGCTAATGACTTTCTAATTTTATTGCTTGTTTTATTCTCTAAATGACACTGAACTTTATCTGTATTGCTCTAGGTACAGAATTGAAAACAGGTCTCATCTTCAATCAGTTGGTGTGAAATCACTTTTAACTGGATGTGGGGCGTAAGGAAGATTCTGTGGCTGGTCAGTGACACTTGCCATGAGCAGAAGAGAGAGCAGTGGGGCCACATGTTGACCAACCAAGTAAAGTGAATATATTGTTGTAGCAGTGCTTCACAGTACAATGCGTTAAAAATTAGGGTCCACACAGCACTCACCAGTCGCCTTGCAGTGGTACACCTCTGGCCAGCTGTCCCCACAGCAGCAAAGAGAGCAGAAGGAACGACCAAGCTGAGGTCTGCGTCCTCAAAAGCTGAGGAAAAACAACGCACTCCCATCAGTGAGTGAAGAGAGCAGGCAAGGCGCTTTGCCACCTGGTGTACAGGTGCAGTCTGAGAACTTTAGAACCATCCCTGTTAAACAGGCACGTTCACAAAACAGAAGCATCCATTTCTTCTGAGGAAGACCACAATCTGAGACGAGAGCATAAATGCTAGCCGGTACCCATGTAAGATGGAAACCAAGGACTCTGCTCTGATCACTTCCCCTTTCCTGGACTGGTTTCTGGTACTGACTGAGCCAGCCCTGTAGCCTCCCTCTGGCTTCTTTTCTAACACCACTCTTTTTGTCAGCTTCACTTGCCTCCAGCCTCAACTCTAGCCAATGCTGATGCCAGATTTCCCAGGTTATCACTACTACCAAGCCATGTTCCCTGTCATCACCTAAACCCTCACTTCCATCAGCCCACCCCCTGAAGTGCTTCTGGATCCCACGTTACAGAAACTTTTACAAATATCTGAAACCCTTCAAGCTCTGTGCTCCTGTACCAGGTGGCCTCACCTCCTCCTTCATGGAATGTCTAGTGTGAGCATCACAAGGGCCTTTCCACCTCTCTGCTGCTCATAAGAGAGGGTTGCTGGGCCCTCCCTGATGGCACAAAGGGTTAAAGCGCAGCACTATGAAGCTGTCTGCAGCCCTGCAACATGAATTCGACCCCCTGACCAGGGAGGCGGCCCACTTGGCACACGTGCTGTGTCACATGCTGCTCCCCTCAGGAGTGTATTTCAGTAGACCTGCCTGTTCTACTCCCCACTGTCTCTCAACCCTGTACCTCTGGCCTACACCCCAGTTCTTGTATGAAAAAATAAAAAATATATTTTTTACCTGCTACCCTGGCACCTTAGTCATATAATCGGTTTACGCTGCAGAGTGCAACCTCCAAGTGAGATTAATAATGGTAGTTGCCTCAAGGGATTACTACAGGAATTAAATGTGTATTCACTGAGCAAACACCTGGCAAATGCCTAGTACCTACTTACTGTTAACTTACACAAACGACTTTCAATGACCAGAAGTCAGGGATGTGGACCTCCTTGCAGTCTAAAGTCCCAGTATAATTTTGACCTCTTCTAAATTAACTAATAATAGTTTGCTGTTGAAAGGAGTCCTTACCAACAGCATAGCCAATTAACATGTTTCACTTGTTATGTTTTCTATACTATGTTCTTATAAGAAGCTAGAAAAGAGAAAATATTGACATCAGAAGGAAGAAAAAAATACATTGACAATACTGTGCTGTTGACACCAATACCTTAAGTTACTGTCATCTGTTCATGAGAAAATGCATATACACACAACTCAAGCCCATGTTGCTAAGTGGTCAACTGTAAATGAAACTTCTCTTTAACTGGATTAGAAATCCATCTAGAACAAGTCCTTCACCATATACCTTTGCAACTTCTGGGGTACACCACAAACATGGAGGCATTTAATTATGGTTATAGCAATACACAAATAACAGGTTTTGGTTCAAATCACAAAAGCCATGCTTCTATTGTGTTTCAACCTGCTTAGGTCCATCCAGAATTATATTGCTTGATATACTATTTATTTTTTCAGCAAAAATTGAAAAAGAGAATTAAGTAATCTCCAAACCTATAGGTAAGTGATGAAATGCCCTAAGGAAGTATTCCTCTCCAATACAAAAGCACTCAATATTTCACTGAAGACGACCCAGTATTTTTGAAATCTAACTGAATCAGCAAGTCACATAAGCATTATTTATTCTGGGGACACACATAGCCACCAGTTTTCAAAAGATAGATGAAAAACTAGAATCACCACCATAGTAGGACATTTCATAACCAGAGTCTAAGATTCAGCTAATATTTTGCAAATACAAATACTTTTCCTTGCTAGTATACTGTCCCAAAAGCAAAATTCCTAATAAGAGGATGAGATGTCAGACACACACAACATAGCAGCAATGCTTTCCTGAACAAGTATCTGTACTCTGGATGGTTCTTGGAGACATTCTGAACAGAAAACAAAGGGCACTTACCAATAATAGCATTGTTTCCTCCAAGTTCTAACAAACTTCTCCCTTAAAGTATATAGAAACACAAATTAATGGCTCTTTCAGTATTTGATGCAGTTGCAAGAAAGCCTTACTTAAATCATAGTTAATACTAGGCAAAATGCTATGATCCACAAGTCACCAGGAAATCTCTTAACTCAGAAGGATTCTACACCTAACACTGGCTCATCCTGCCTGGTTTTATGTGCTTTGTGGCAGAAGGAACTATACTTTCTAATTGCATTTCTCTCTGTGTTCCCTAGCTAATTCCTAACTACCTACTCCCTCAAAAAAAAAAAAATCACCCATCACTAAAGCTCAGCAGGTATATGGATATAAGCTTATACAATGTAAAAAACTATAGTTCTACTAATGATTCTATTTAAAGAACAAACTACTCTGTGATTAAGGGTAAAGGAGAAACATGAGAAACCTGTTCATATCCTTTCCCCACGTTTGAAATGGATTATCTTCTACATTGTTGAATTTCAAGGGTTTGTTTATAGTGAAGACACAATTCTCTCATTGGATACAAGATTTATAAATATCTCCTCCCATTCTATATGTTGTTGTTTTCACTTTTTTATGGTATCTTTTAAAATGCAAATTTATGCTTTTTAAAAGCTATTGTTATTGAGATGTTAGTGTATAAGAGTGTATATGATTTAAGGTTGTTTCTAAGCTTGGCTATTATCAGTACTACAATGCAAATGTCCTTGTGAATTAGTATTTTTGTATTTTTTAGATTCCTAGGAGTAAAATTGCTGGATCCTATGGTAGTCTATTTCTAACATTCTGAGACTTCTCCAAACTCTTTTCCAGAGAAGCTAGAATAGTCGGCCCCATAGTGTTTTTAAATATAATTCATTTGTATTTTCTTCAGCTGCTTGTGCTTTAGGGGCAGTTATCTAAGAAAGGACTGCCTAATCCAGAGTCACAATTTAACCTGTTTTCTTCTAAGAGTTTTATAGTTACAGCTCTTATGTTTAGGTCTTCCATATATCTTGAGCTAGTTTTTGCCTGTAGGATGAGGCACAGGCCTCAGTTCGTACATATGTATATGAATATCTAGCTGTCCAGACCATTTGTTAAAAAGATTATTCTTACTTCATTGAACTGTCTTGGCATTCTTGTCAAAAACCTTGTCATCTGATATAAATATGAGGGCTTATTTCTGGATTCTTAATTTTACTTTACTGATCTTCATCTACCTTTATGCTGGTACCACATAGTCTTGATCACTGTCATTTTATTAGAAAGCATAAGACCTTTGACTTCGCTGTTTTCACAAAAATTTTGGCTCTTCAGCATTCTTAGGATTTCTGTGCAAGTTTTAGGATCAGCTCATCAATTTCTACCCAAAAAGCCCATTGATATTTTGAACAGGATTGTATTCAACTGATGAGTATTGACACCATAATGATTTTAGGTTTTCCAAAAAGTGAAAAGGGGGCTCTCCCTGGAGCAATGGGTGAAAAGCACAGCACAAGGAAGCTAGCCACAGCTACTTCAACACAAGTTTGATCCCCAGACAAGGGGGTGACCCACATGGCACAGCAGACCTCTCCTGACTTGCCCGCTGCTCCCCTCAGCAGTGTACTTGGTCAATTTGCCTTTTCTGCTCCCCATCGTCTCTGGTGAATCCTCTCACCGCCCCTGAACCACTGGCCTGTACCCAGTTCTATACACATAAATAAATAAACCTTTAAAAGAAAAATAAGTGAAAGTCTTTATATTTATTTAGCCATTTTTAAGTTTTTCTCAGTGATGCTTTGGAGCACTGTGTGAAAAGATGTATACTTATTTTGATAAATGAATTCCTAAGTATTTCATTCATTTTGATGCCCCTATAAATGGAACTGTTTTCTCAATTGATTTTTACATATTGATCTTATATTCTGCCTCTTTGCTGCCCTCATGCATTAACTTTAAATGCTGTTTTGTAAACTTGCTTTTTAAAAGCCTATTGCAAAAGTGCTGGCGGATTAACTAGCCAAGAGTCACTTCATGCTGGGGCTAAAGTTTAGAGCTCTTCAAACTCTTTTCCACAGAAGCTAGAATAGTCAGCTTCTATTAAAAGTTTCTAGTTTTGATAAAATATAATTCATTTGTATTTTCTTAGGTCACTTATGCTCTAAGTGACATTACTGAAGAAAAGACTACCTAATCCAAAAGCCACAGTTTATTCCTGTTTTCTTCTAAGATGTTCCATAGTTACAACTCTTGGATATAATACTAAAAACTGATTATCATTAATGTCTTTGAAAATATCTTTAATGACCTGTAAAGCAGAACAAAGCTATGTTGATATAACTCTTTGCCATCATGCATATTAATAGTCATAATAATAATGAGAAAAGAAACAGATTCAAGTCTTGTATTACACATTCACTCCAAGTTCAGTACTTACAACCTGAGTTCTCTTTTGTATATTTGTCAAATAGGTTTGATAAAACTGATAAATATGTTTACTATGATTCCACTATAGTCATTTGGCAGGGGGGAAATGACATCGTTTTCCAAGTTAAGCTTTTTAAATTTATTTTTCTATTTCCCTAACATTAACCCACTAGTAACTATATCCTTTTCGTTTACTTGGATATTCAATTAAACATAGAGGCTGTCTCTCAGAAAGTCACAGGGGGATAAAAAAAACACCTTTTAGATTTTGCATTAACACCTCTGAGAGAATGAAAACCCTCATGAGAAATCCAACACTTACCAGGGTCTTCCTGGTGGTGTCTGGGTTTAAGTCTCAGCTACCACCAGCTACTGCACCATGGCAAGAATTTGATCCCCGGCCAGGGAGGGGACCCACATGACACAAAAGACCTCTCCTATCTCTCCCACTGCTGCCATCAGCAGTGTATTTCAGTTGCTTTACCTGTTCTGCTCCCTACTGTCTCTGGTGAATTCTCTCACCCACCTCCCACACCTCTAGCCTATACCCCAGTTCTTGCACGCAAAAATAAATAAATCATTGAAAAAAATAAAAAGCACCACATTATGAAGCTCTCCAAAGTCACTGCAGCACAAGTTCAATTCCCAGCCAGGGAGCTGACCCA